GAAATTCTAATTGGAATTGTCACATCAGGAGCCCAATGGAATGAACCAGAGCGTCGTCGGCTCGTGGGCAGTAGCAAAGGCCAAAAAGACCGCGGACTCCACCGCTAGCCCGGCACCCACATCCTCCAAGAGAAGAACACATGGCGGAGAATCTGTATCTAAGCGACGCAAGGCCGAGCCCGCGGATCGTTCGCCACCAACACACGTCAGTCTCGCTGATTTGGGTGGACTGGATGATGTTGTTCAGGAACTTGGGGACTTGGTCATTCTACCCATGACTCGGCCGCAGGTTTATCTCTCATCAAACGTGCAGCCGCCGCGTGGAGTATTGCTGCATGGCCCGCCAGGTTGTGGTAAGACGTTGATTGCGAACGCTTTCGCAGCGGAGCTGGGTGTGCCATTCATCTCAATCTCTGCTCCTTCGGTCGTGTCAGGAATGTCGGGTGAATCCGAGAAAGCCCTGCGCGAGTACTTCGACGAGGCCAAGCGTCTTGCTCCCTGTCTCATTTTCATCGATGAGATTGATGCGATTACACCGAAGCGCGAGAGCGCTCAGAGAGAGATGGAGAAGCGAATTGTCGCCCAGCTGCTGACCTGCATGGATGATATTGCCATTGATAAGACAGATGGCAAACCCGTCATCGTACTCGCGGCAACTAACCGCCCAGACAGTCTCGATGCCGCTCTGCGCCGCGGTGGTCGTTTTGATAAGGAAATCAACATGACTGTGCCCTCAGAGCCAGTCAGAGAACAGATCCTACGCGCACTCACCCGCAAAATGCGCCTGGCCGACGATATCGACCTCAAGACGCTAGCCAAACGCACCCCCGGCTTCGTGGGCGCCGATCTCAACGACCTCGTGTCGACCGCCGGCTCAGCCGCCATCAAGCGGTACCTCGCGATCCTCAAGTCGAACAGCGGTGAAGAAATGGAGATGGAAATTGAAGGCGAAGAAGATATCAGCCCGCGAGTTCGCGAACTCCGTCGCCTCATCGTTCACGCCAAGGAAACACCCCTTGGCGATGAAGCAGAAGTCGTCCTCGTTTCCAACGCAGACTTCTTCACAGCCCTCCCCAAGATCCAACCCTCCTCTAAGCGTGAGGGCTTCGCCACAATCCCCGACACAACATGGGCCGACATCGGTGCCCTCGGCGGCATCCGCGAGGAGCTCGTCACAGCCATCGTCGAACCAATCAAGAACCCCGATATTTACGCCAACGTCGGTATCACCGCACCAACTGGTGTCCTCCTCTGGGGCCCGCCCGGTTGCGGTAAAACCCTCCTCGCAAAGGCCGTCGCCAACGAGTCCCGCGCAAACTTCATCAGCGTCAAGGGACCCGAACTGCTCAATAAGTTCGTCGGTGAGTCTGAGCGCGCGGTTCGCCAGGTCTTCGTCCGAGCCCGCTCCTCCGTGCCCTGTGTTATCTTCTTTGATGAGCTCGATGCCCTCGTGCCGCGTCGTGACGATACGCTCTCGGAGGCCTCTGCCCGTGTTGTCAACACACTTCTCACAGAGCTTGATGGTCTCGGCAGCAGTCGCCAGGGTATCTATGTCATTGCTGCTACCAATCGGCCTGATATTATTGATCCTGCTATGCTGCGTCCTGGTCGTCTTGAGACCCTTCTCTTTGTGAACTTGCCCACGCCACTCGAGCGTGTCGATATCTTGCAGACTCTTCTCCGGAAATTGTCCATTGAGTTTAGTGAAGATCTGCGCAAACTCGCCGAGGAGTGTGAGGGCTTTAGTGGTGCTGATTTGGGCAGTCTGTTGCGTCGTGCTGGTTACTCTGCTATCAAGCGTCGCGATACTATCAAGCTCGTTGACTTTGTTGCTGCGAAGACGTTCATTCGGCCTAGTGTTACGGATTTGAGGAAGTATGAGAAACTCCGGAGGGACTGGGGTGGTGGAGTGGTCTGAGTTGGCTGGGTTGTATATGCACTTCTCTTGGGATACACATATTTAGATCTAGAGTTTTCTTTTTTTTTTTCTCTCCCATTTTCTTGCTTGGGGTCGTGGACATAGATACCTTGAACATTGGCTATTTGATCGGACATTCGACCATTCATCTCTGCATCCCTTGCGCTACTACACTACTACTAAACGCAATACATCTCAAGATCTATGAGATGATACGAAGTAGAAAATGTTAAAAAGAAACAACTTTTTTGTAAGATACCTATACAAAAGAAAGATTATGCACAAAAAATAAATAGAGAAAAACGCCCAGAAAAATGTCAGACATCATGCAACGGCATCTCAAGATTACATCCACAAGCGACAGGTTCCATCGGCACCGGCACTGACAGCCCACGCCTCGCGCGGGTGCCAGTCGATATCCAAAACACCCAGCTCGCCAGTAATCTTGTGGCCCTTGAGAACCTTGAGCGGCACGATGGTAGCATTGCTGAGCATATCTCCAGTAACGCTGCCGTGGAAGATCTGCAGAGATCCATCGTCGGAGGCATCTGCGAAGAGCGGGTAGCGGCCGCTGGGGTGGAACTTGACGGCGCGGATAGCCTTGCGGTGGTAACGGAGGGTCTTGTAGGGGCGCTGGGAGAGGTCGAGATCGTGCCAGAGCAGACGACGATCGTAAGAGCCGATGATGATGTTGTCGCCGCCGGCTGCGCTGGAAGAGGTCGGGTGGATGTCGAAGGACGAGATCCAGCGCGCACCAGGCTGCAAGATCTTGACGAGGAGCTGACGGGAGAGATCGTAGGCACGGATCGAGCGCTGGTTGGCGACGAAGAGGATGGGTTTCGACGGGTGGAAGTGGGCGGTCTGGGGGGGACCACCGCCCTTGAGACGGCGCTTGAAAGGGAATTGCGTCAAGTGCTTGCTGACTGTGTGGATGGAGATTGCGACGGAGGCGGGTGTCGAGGCGCCCGAGCAAACTGTCACGAAGTAGTCGCCACGGCGGTGCCACGAGATCGTCTTGGGCACATAGCGGAGGGGAATGACGACGCACACACCGGCGTCCACGAGAGCGGGCTCGGGACGGATCCAGGTTGGGGCATTGTTCTTCTTGCCTTCCTCTGAGGCACTGGGGGCCGGTCGAGAGGCGGCGAAACCCCAGCCTACGTCGAGGAGATCCAGACTGGCCTTCTCAATTTCGGGGTCGACGATGGGAGGTACGGCGAGGAAGATATCGTCGCCTGCGGTGGCAGCGAGGACGACAGCGTCCTTGCCGGGACGCCAGCGGACAGTGTTGACCGCTTCGTCATCGCTGAGCTTCACGCTCCACAGTTGGCGACCAGTGAGGAGTTCCCAGACACGGACGGTACCATCATCGCCACCAGTGGCCAGCCAGATTCCAGTTGGGTCCACGTTGACAGAGCGCACACGGCCCTTGTGTCCGCGGAAGACGGTGGCACAGGCAGTGGGGAAAGGCTTGAGCTCCTCGGGGCTGGGAAGCTTGGGCAAGAGACTCTCGGGGTCGATGTTCAGCTTGCTACGACGCACACGCGGAGCGAGGTAAAGATCCAAGCAACGCTCGAACTTCTCCTGGACGAAGTTGTCGTATCCAGGAACTTTGCGCAGGGAGCCGAAGTCGTTGGGCAGGAAATCCTTCTCACGATCCTCGGGATCTGTCTGCTCCCATTCCTTGCGTTCCTTGTTATCGGGCAGGTACTCGGCAGGTGGGTGGTAACTCTCCTCGTAACCAGGGGGTGGGAGTTTGGGCGCCGGGATGTGCATAACGTGGTCAGGTCGCTCAACTTCGTCAGCCCACAGGTCGTAGTTGATGAGTTCCTCCTCCTTCTCTTCTCTGTCCTCGGGCGCCTTATAAGGAAGAATACGGCCCTCGCGGATGGCCTTCACAAGCTTCATCACACGCTTCTGCTCGTGCTTGGAGGGCACGAAACGACGCTTGGGCTCCGGAGCGGCGCTCAATGGCATGATCTCCTTTTGGCTACTGAACCATTCCACCAAAGGCTCATATGGGTCGTAGCCCTCGGAAGGAACCTCGTTCATCTGCACCTTGCGGAGCAACTCCAATTCGTCCTGGCTAAGCTCCAGAGGCTTGCCGGTCTGAGGATCAGTCATACCAGTCCAGCCCTTGGGGATTTCAATGCTATCCAACAATGCATCCAGGGCCTCGCCCTTGGCAGGACGCATAATTTTCTTTCCATTGATGTCGTAACCAATATGGGGATATTCGTCGTAGAACTTCAGTGGGATGTCGCCAATGGTGTTGGCATTTTCATCCACCTCGGATAGTTCAGAATTGTCGTCCGGGTGAATTTCATCCCAGAGGTAGCGATCGTTTCCGTTGGCGTCCTTCACAATGCGGAAGTTGGGTTCACCGGCAGCTGGCTTAATTTCTTCTGTGTCAGATGGGATCTCATCGCTATCCAATTCCTCTTCTCCATCTTCCGAGTCGCTGAAGTCGTCGACTAGTTCAACTTCCGAGTCGCTATCATCGTTCTCGCTGTCCGAAAGATCGTTGGCGGTGTCCGACAAGGATCCATCAAGGTTGCCTTTGCTCAATTCGTCGCCGGAAAAGACACCAGCTTCCTCCTCAACATCACGAGTGACAGCCTTGCGCTTCTTTGAAGCCACCTTGGGGTTCATGGTGCCGTTTAGCGGATGTTGTCTTATTGCAGTAGATCCACGGATTTTTTTTTGGATAATTTCTCGCGGCCATTCACCGCTCACCGCCCACATGACCGCCCCCATCTTATCGGGCCTATCTATGACACGCCAACCTTTTGGAATGTTTTCTATTTGAAGGACTCTTTTGAATTGAGAGTATTATCAAGCTATGTCACTGCCACCTGATTATGGTGGAGTGTTTCCTTTGTCTACAAATGATTCCTCAGAGGCAAAAAGACATGCAGCATGCGACGAGTGTAGTATGTCTCACCGGCCGGTGTAATACAACCCTCACTGACCAGTCTACTGTTCGACAGGAAAGCGGAAGCTGAAATGCTCTGGGGAACCGACAGGATGTTCGCGATGTATTAAACAGTCACTCTCTTGCAACTATTCCTTACAAAAACAGATGGGCCGACCGCCTAAGAAACGGACACGGACAGACGATGAGGAGGTCGGCTTCCCACCCTTATCTGGAGCTGAAATTTGGCCAAGTCCAGAGGACTCGCAACAATCTTCATTAGGAATGAGTCCGAATATATCCACTTTCCCAGATGCTGATCATATCTGTCCGCAATTCTTCTGGCGCCCTGGTACGAACACAAATTTGCCACAGTCCCAGCCCGCAGATCTATTGTCAGGTTATGATGACCACAACCATGCTTGGAAGCCACACCGTCTCAAACAACCCAATCTTCCTGTTTTCCCATCATCTTCTCCTTGGCCAGATTTCTCGGCCGTCTCCGAAGCCACTGCTATGCCAATGCCACTGCCATTCCCTAACCCCTCAACGTTCCCACCCACGCTTCCACTCTCTCCAGCCACCTCCGTTTCCTCCGACTCCGCAACACCTGGGTGTACGTGTCTGTCATATCTCTACCTAAGTCTTAGCCACATGACATCAATCTCCTCCTTCCCCGTCAGCTCCCACACTCTATGCTCGCTTTATATCGCTGCACGAACAGCGCGAGACGTGATCCGCTGCCAAGTTTGTCCCAAGGCCTTCTCGACGGGGTTTCAAAATATCATGTTCTTAGGGACTCTATTAACAGTTGTCGCGGACTCGTGGCTGCGCGTCTCGCAAGCCGATGCTATGGACTTGGGGATGCAGACCGCGCCTCCACACTTCGCGTCTGAGGTGCACCAAAGCCCTAACCCAGCACAAGTTTGGAAATCATGGCTCCACCAAGTGGTTCGTCGCGCTGTCATTGGTGGTCCCGTTGAGCCGGGTGCTATCGTCGCTTGTTCTGAGCAGCCAGATCTGCTGTCCATGATTGGGGAACTCGAGAGTCGGCAACGCCGCTGGCATGAGCCTGGGCAACATCCACTTGGACAAAACCCACTTGGACAGTGGAACACAATGTCCTCCTTGTCGGATCCACTTGGGTTAGAAGATAAGGATGAGCCCGATGAAGCTAAGTTTTTGTGCCTTCGTGTGGTTGGAAGTTCCAGGGAAGTGATCACAAAATTCAACTTTGATCCTTCAGAATATCCCGAGGGCGTTGAGCCAGTCACTGCGGGCAACAAAGTGCATACGGGTGCACATCATGCATGAAAAGTTTGGTTAATTAAAGGCGCTTCGGTTATCTGGTTTCTGCCCGTTGAATATGTCCGAGACTGGGAGTTAGTGCTATATACCATTTGGCATTGGATACGATAAAAATCTACATTGCTTCGCTGGTACGAAGCTAGATATGTCATTGAACATTTCATTAATTTTTGTTGTACAAGCGTCAAGTCAGTGAAATGAGCCCCAGGGTCCCTCGAATGCCTGTCCATGTAGATGACGCCGGACCATGTGGATATGTAACAAGAAAACTGCATCGAAAGCGCGAAAAGAAAAAGAACCTGCGAGAGAAAGTGGAATGCTACAAGCTCACTCGTCATCCTCGTCGTCCACCACGTAGCGGTTCTTCTTTCGGGCAGGAGGTGTACCAGCCCTGGCTTGAGGCTCTGGCTTGCTACGGGCAGATTTCGCAGGTGCAGCTTCCACGTCATCTTCACCTTCAGCGTCCATATCTTCATCTTCCAGCTCCTCTTCGTCATCTTCCGCTTCTTCCTCAAGCTCCTCATCGCTGCCAACCAAGAATCCATCGTCCTCGTCGTACTCGTCTTCTCTGTTACGGGCACCACGAGAGTAGTCCTCTTCATCGTCGGTGTAAATCTCACCGCGACGGTTCTGGCGGCGAGGCTTGGCACGTGGTCGAGTCGTAAGCAAACCACCATCTTCAAGACCACCGACACTAAGGCCGCTAGGACCAGTACGACTGGCGCCATGTCGACGACCGCGGTCAGCCTCGCGATCAGCAAGCTGCTGGCGACGACGCTCAGCCTTGATAGCTTCCTTTTCCATCGTTTCGGCACGTCTAGCAGCCAACTCGGGATCCTCTGTGAGTTCATAACGCGGCGCAGTGCCAGCTGCGGTCTGCTTGCTACCACGAGCAGCAGCAGCCAATTGTTCTTGCAGTCGCTGAACGGCATCGTCCGTCTCCAAGGTGGTCGGGAGAATAGTCAGACCTTGGGTGACATGTGAGCTCAAACGGAAAACTTGAGCTGTTTCCAGTCCAGCTGCGAGATAAACGTGGGAGTCCAGCTTGTGGTCATATTCGCCGGACTTGGTGAGAGGTGCGAGGGGTTTAGATGCGATGCGGTATTGCTCAAGGGGGGCAGAGGCGAGTTGAAGAGTAATGGAGCCATCCTCCCATTTGATCATGCGGGCATTGGACTGCAAAAGAGATCCGTCTGCGGGATCCTTACGCCAGCATAGGGAGGTAGCAGCGGTCTGGTAAGGTGGTGGGACGTAAGTCTCAGGATTGAATTCTTCTCCTTCGATTGAGAGGAAATCCGGCACACGCATTGTGTAAACCTGTTACTAGAAGTTAGATCAAAGTCAAAAGGTCGGGGTAGAAGCTCCTCCTACCTCTCCATCGTTGGTCAATGGCATTGGCGCCCGAGCAAGGTCTTGGTCAATGACATTGAGTTCCTGCTCCTCCTGAGGCACATCGTCCATTCGGTCTTCGCGCCGATCATAACGGTGCTCATCGTCACCGGAGTCAAGTTGTTCATCGTCTAGGTTGCGGTGGGGTCTAGCAATATATCAGCATTTAGATCTTGTCGCTTTGGTGTGGTTTGCATACTCAATATCATCGAGATCACCCTCTCCATCCGACCCGAAAAGATCATCGCCTTCATCCATTTGGTCGGCACCAAAATCATTGGCATTGCTGTGCGCAGGGCTCTCATTGCCATTGCTGGGGCGTCGGACGCCCTCCTCATCGGAGGACATGGTGTATGGAATTTATGTTGCAAGTCCGTAGATGTGTGAATATGGGAGTGGCGATAAAGAAAGGATTGGAGGTGTTCTTTGTATTATATTGGGAGTGAGCGATGCGATATATCGTCAGTAATGTATTGACAATTGTTCCATCGGCTATTCACGACGGAGCTCCCATAATTCAATTGACGCGCGGGAACATAAATTCTCCGAGCCCGGGCCCAAACAGGACTAGCGTCTCGATGGCCCAGACCAAAAGGGGATCCTCGACGTGTGGGCATCTCACCGTCTCGTCCCTCATCCCCGTTATTTTCTTAATTTGAAATATCGCAGATCAATTTCAAAATGGCGACCTTCTTCCAGAGCGTGTGAGTGACGTTGCACTATTGTGGACTTGTTGCAATCGGTTCAATCTCCCTTCTACATTTACCCCCTCATACTGCACGAAGGACAACCCCGGCGCCACAAATACAAACGAGCATTCCATTCCCCCAAAGTCTAATATATGCCCTGGCCTCCTCTTTGTTGTTTACATCCACCCTTGCATCTTTTTATATATTCCCATTTTGTTCTTAAACAGCTATACCTTGCCACGACCGCCCGCTAACTCTGTTTTTGAATACAGTCGCCAAGGATTTGGCCGGGGAGGAAACAACAAGAGCAACAATCCCCCTAAAAGCCCAGCACAGTCCTCTACTCCTCAGCATCACGCCACCATGTCGAATTCGCCCTCGATTTCTAGCAGTCTGTCAGTGGAGACTCAGGCGAACGACCCCGAGGGACCCAAGTACTTCTTCCAGGAGAAGTATGCCCCGCTGAATGTGAGGGGCAACTTCTTGACCCTCTGTGCTTGCCCGAAGAATGTGGAGCTGGGCGAGTGGCTGGCTCACCAAAGTAAGCAACGCGGAAGCTTATCTGGGGAATGGGGAGGCTAATGTGTTTCTACTTCCAGTTGTTGAACAATATCGTCTACTTCACGGCATGCTCCAGGTTATCCAGGAGGTGAACAGTGTGACCGGGCTACCTATTTGCAATGAAAATACTTGTCCAACAATGTCCGCTGGACGGTATGTGGCTATGGCGGGGTAAATCATGAACCAAGCTAACGATTCCAAAGGCTGACCTATACTTGGCTTGTTGACGGCCGCGCCGCCAAAATCTCCGCCCCGAAGTTCATCAACCGCGTCGAGAAATGGATCGTCAGCAAGATCCATGACCCTGTTATGTTCCCTACCGAAAAAGTGAACGGCACACCCGAGACATCTGCCATCAAAGAGGCCAATGGCGCATCAACAACTCCCTCCGACCCTGCCAACCCCGAAGACTGGATCGGCAAGTCTAGTGGCTTCCCCCCAACCTTTTATAAGGACTGCCAGGGTATCATGAAGCAGATGTTCCGCTGTTACGCCCATTTGTACCATGCTCATTGGCTCAATCCCTTTTGGCACATTAACAAGCACGATGTCCTGAACATGTGCTTCGTTCACTTCGTGACGGTCTCCAAGTACTACGGGCTTGTGTCCGATAAGGAAATGGAGCCCATGCAGCCCTTGATTGAGTTGTTCATCAAGCAGCAGCGGGTTCCCCCAGAGGCGCTTAACGGCGGTCACTGGGCCCAGCAGGCCGCCACTTAAAACTCCACGGGTCTGGAGTTGCACCTTTTTGTTTTTACATTGACGACCATGACATGTCCGCTAACCTGGCGTTGGGCCGCGCTGTCTTACTTTGCTCGTATTCTGCTTTCTCCTTCTGCCATTTAAAACAAAAATTGGCGAATTTGTGATGATATGACACAGAGCCAGGACTTTGATTGAGCATTTAGCATGCGCTGTGAATTATTCTACTTGATGATCTTGCATATTCTCATCCAGCATCAGCTGGGCATTGTATCATTGCATGTTTTTTTTATCTACTCATTGCAATACATTCATCTGATCATAATTCCATCACACTTAAAACTTGGGGGTGTAAATGATCCACTAGATACATTCCATTTTGTCAGGACCTGGTGACTCAGGTGTGCCTAACGCTGCAGAAGACGTGAGCAGTCCCTAAGGCCTGGGAGGGGTAGTTATTTGCCGGGATAACTGTCTCTTGGCTGCTGTGGTCCAGGTGTGTACAGCGTACTGTGAAGTATAGATGCTGTGAAACATAACCAATTGAGATAGGTCGATTTTCGACCCACACGCAATCGCAGTAAGGCGCCCGCAAATAGTGACCGAGAACCACCGATGCATAGATGACAACGCTTTTGAAGATTTGAGCAGTCCAAGCAAGCTTAAAGAAGCCAGCTGCGCCTATATGACCCACCAGATTGGTCACAGATAGACCCCATCCCCATCCTCTCGATCATTGGACTCCTGTCCTGCACCGGTCTCAGCGCCAGCGCCAGCTCCAGCCCCGGTCTCAGTCTCAGTTGCATTTCCATTCGTCACCGGAACATCTGTCGAAGCGTCCCGTCCCTTGTCGATCTTAAGCTCATCAAGCTCAATCCAAGGCTGTCCACGATTCTCGACCTCGGTCTTCAGCAATGAGATCCGCTCGTTCATGGACACCGCCACACCCTCGTTTTCGGCCACATAGCCCTCCAGCTCCTTCTTGTCTTCTTCTGGGTCGTTGCTTTCCGCTAAGAATGCGCGGAGCTCGGCATTTGAGCGGTGCAGGTGTGCGATGGAGTTTGTGAGCTCGGAGACTTTGCTGTAGAGGACTGCGAGGGGAAGTTCTTTGATTGCTTCAGCAAAGGCTCCTGGGGTTATAGGGAGGGATTCAGTTGACATTTTGATATTTTGTTTTGTGATGGGTTGAAGTTAGAGTTGGGATTAATGCGGGCTGATCTGTTTAGATTGTTATCGTCTTATCGTCACGTGGGGTTTATAGTTCAGATGGGAGATGTCGACATATGGGAGATTTTGAGATTGGTTTTGAGTATTGGTGGATCAGGGGTGAATAGACATTCCGAGACTATATAGTCCAAACCAATTCTACGTTTAAATAATCAAGCATCTTCAATCAATTCCTATCCATCTTGCTTTGTACTGGCAATCGCGGTCTCGGAACAACTCTACAGCCGACCCATATGATGCTACCAAAAGAATCCCCGAACAGTCCACCACCATCCCATATTCCGTGGTCCTTTCCGAGCCCTCGCTCTCCAGTCACAGGATATGAGCAATGCGGTCTGGGCCGCATGGCGGGCTCCATGCCCAGGGCTCCGCACCTCCGTGCTGCCAGTAACACTCCGCCCTGCCAGTCGTGATCTCCGCATTACCCCATGGCGCATGTACAGCACCTCGCGCCAATCCACGTTGCCAGTCCCGAGCCTTCTGTCCCAGATTTTCTCTCACTCGTCTCGACCGACTCCAGCCCCGATATTCCCACAACGATTCAACCCGGTCTCTACCCCCCGCCGCTTCAAACGTACATCCGCCGCATCTTCAAAGCCAAAGCCTAAATCGGATCCCTCGGAGGTCCTCCCTCGCGAAAAGCCCTTCTCCGATGCAGAGATCAAAGCCATCTTTGGTCCCGCCAAGTTCAATGCAAAGCTGGGAAACCGTATCCTGGCCGTCCTGCACGGCCACCGTCTGACCGGCACGCTTGATGCGGACTTACCAATTGACATTGCCCGCGCTATCACCCCGCAGCAGTTCGACATGGCTTTGGAATGGCTCCGCAGTGAGTACCCCGTCGACGAGGATGCTGCTATTTTCGCCCGCATCGAGCGTGAGGAGCGCGCGGAGGAAGAGAAGCTTGTGCGCCGCGCTGAGAAGCTAGGCTTGTATAAGCCGCAGAGTGGTTCTTATGACGCCGAGCTTGGCGAGGAGGGCTCTCCTTACGGCAAGAGTGTTCTGAAAGAGGCTCGCGAGAGGAACGAGAAGCGCTTGCTGGCTGAACAGGAACGGAAAAGGCAAGAGTGGCTCGATGGCGAGAAAGAAGAACACGAACGGTTGAAGCGGGAGTTTGGGAAGAACACTTCCCTGCAGCAATACCAGGAGGCTGCCCTCACTGAGGGTATGTATACTAGGATTCAAGCTTGGGTGATTGGTACTGGTGTTGACATTTTTAGCTCGTCCCCGTGCGGATCCTATTGAGAGGCCGTATCTCGCTTGGGTCCAGAAGCATCATATTGCCGCTACCAACGAGAGTCCTGAGTCGATGAACATCACTAATGTAAGGATGATTCATTTTATGAAATTGTTCGGTTATTAACCATACTTGAATTGGCAGTCTCAGCGTCTGCTCGCTCCACTTCTGTTCTCGATCGTCGTTCTCGCCCTTTGCTACACCTTTGCTCAGAAATATGAGTTCCCGGCACGAAAGGATCGCCTCATGCCGGAGGTGCCTCCTGCTGTGGCTACTGTGGGTGCCATTGTGGCAGCTAATGTAGCAGTCACTTTGCTGTGGAAATACGTACCTCCCGCGTGGAGACTGCTCAACCGATACTTCGTGATTGTTCCCTTCTATCCCAGCTCACTGGGTATGATCGGAAGCACATTCAGTCATCAGACGTGGAGACATCTTGGAACTAATATGATGGTCTTGGGACTTATGGGAACCAGAGGTATGCATTGTGGTTAGCAGAAGCACCAGAAAATATGGTTTCTAACTTTTTTCTGTACAGTCCACGATGAAATCGGCCGTGGAAACTTTTTGGCCATCTACTTCGCTTCCGGTATCATGGGATCTGTCTTCTCATTGACACGCAGCGTCATCCTCGGCCGCCTGGGCATGACCTCCCTTGGAGCTAGTGCTGCAACCAGCGGTATCGTCGCCGCATGGTGCATGTCTCACTTCAAGTTTGTCTCCCACCATCTCTCCAGCTGTTATCCGTGGTACCTATACTGACCCTCACTAGTGACAAACTCACCGTGTGGATTCTTCCTCAGGCGCTCCAAGAAAAGATTTGGACCTACGGTTGGGTCTTCCTTACCTGTCTAGTCGGCACCGAAGTCTTCAGCTTGCTCGCTCCCGCATTCTTATTCCGCGCTTGGCCCCTCTCCCGACTGACCAAGATGGACCACGCTGCCCATCTAGGTGGGTATGCGACTGGTGCTGGGTGTGGATATACCCTTATGCAGAAAAGGAAAGAGCGCGAGAGAAAGGCGAGACAGTCGAGATGGATCTAAACTCTCATCAATAGAGACCTGGTAACCTTTATCTTTGGTTTCCAATTGTATCATACTGGCGTTACTGCGGCAAATTTTAGCCTTTATACTACTCATGTACTTGAGCTACCATGCTCTTCTCACCCACTGTTCCATTCAAAATAACTGATATATAAAAGTACCAAAATGTTCTAGAGAAAAAACAGGATCAAATAGTCCAACCATCTTCACAAAATCCGCTTCTAATCCTGCAGCTCAGTAGTCGCAGACCATGGATTCACAACTGCGTACACGGGCTTACCCCAATGTGCAGGCTCAATCAACAGCTGATCCTCACGTTCCGAGGGCTCCTCGCGAGACAGGAAAACCATGTGCTTGTCAATGGAAATACTCTCCAGGTTGATGAATTTCACATACCAGAGTGCAACAATCTGAATCTGAATCCTCAACATCTCGGCATCTTGCTCAGGTGTCTCGATCTTGATCGGAAATGAGACGCACATATGCCCCCGGCCGTGCAATGCATCAGTGGTCCACGTAACCAAGCCAGCCTGGATGGTCTCGACTATATGAATTGCAATCTCCCTGTCATCTGTTGCAATGCTCATAGTATTAGGGAGAGCCACATTACCCCAGATCCAACCAGGCTGGCTGTTGTGGGGGTCCCTAAAATGGAATCGGGTGCCATGCTCGAGCTGGCTCGACTGGAATACACTCGCCTGGTAAAAGGGCATAATGACAGGTGGAGTAAATGGACGTTTCTGTTGAGATGTGGTGTTTTTGGTCTGCTTTTTGTTTTGTGTTAGGAATGCTGGGTGATGCTGCTGACGATATACTCGAGACGAGGACACCGAGGGTTTACTTAAGGGACAAGCCATTTATTCTGATAATTAGGAATAATGAGAGACTAGAGTCCTTTCATAAATTCAAAGCCTTTCTGTTCTTTGAGAAAGTATACTATTCTCTCTATACTCTTTGTTTGACCTGATATATATTAATCTTATTTAGATCTTCTCTTTCTTCTTGTCTCTTTGAGTGTTGAATTTACGTCCATCCAAGGAGACATTACGCTTTTATCATAGGAATGGCTTTTAGAAGATCCTGAAGACTAGTAAGAGTTATATTCAATGCAGTCAGAAGCCACCACAATATTGCCAAAACATTCTGTATAGACCTGGGCTGTTAGCTTTGGCAATATTCTATCCATCTTGCATACACTCAACCTTTTATTTCTCTCTACTATTAACAAGTCTATAATACAACTTCTATACTTCAGACAGTTTGAACGTGGAATATCCAAACACAAAGTAGTGCATTGATTACTCGAATATCTAAATAAGCCTGAAACATTTGAGTCCGCACAATCTAAATACGCCAGGGATCCATCAGAACCACGCCCACATCCAACATATCTTCCAAACGTATAAATTCACGACGAATCCCAGCAAAAATTATGGTTTGATCCAAAGTAACCTTCCTGGACAAAATCTGATCCTTCCAATACCCCGCCAGATTTTCAGCAAGAAGAAGATCTGGGTGCGTAGGATCAGGCGTATATGACTTTGGCAGAGGCGTATCCGGATCACGCTTAATAGGGATCGAGAGACAATGGTACCCTAAACCATGCATTGCCCGATTGTCTACAGTAAAGCGGCCTTTTGCAATCATATTCTTTACAATCAGCATGACTTCTGAATCTCTAAGGCCGCGGTGATCGCCGTCTTCGGCGAAATGTACGGTGATCCAGTAGTAGTCGCTTCGGTTACCGTCTGGCTCGGCGAAATATTGACCGTTTGTGCTTTTGTACACGCTTGGCTGGAACTTGCTTGACATCTTATTTAGCAGATTTCAATGGGAGGGACTTACCATTACTGTGAGGGTATGTCCTTGATAGAGGGTTTTCGTTTTATTGGTCGAAAATGTTTTTTTTATAGATAATGAGGTAGAACTCGAGGCGAGAATACCAGGGTTTATAAAGTAACAGCTAAGATGCAATATATCTAGAGTATTGTATGGGAAATCACAAAGGGCTTTCATTTCTACAATGGCTTTCTTCATTCTCCCAAGGGCTTTGACCTTTGAGATACAGTATTTGTACTATTTATAGTTCTACCAGTCTTGAATTGGTTTTCTCGGCCAATCTGTTTGAGAGCTAGAGCTGGAAGTTATACTGCCAAGTAGAACCTCATTGTCACGAACAGAAATGAAAACGTAGATACACCTAATCTGAATCTTTTAGGATTTCAACAATGTTGTGGGAGTAAGGTGCAAGTCACGAAATCACCATCCAATGACGGTGCTGATCTGTCCGTTCCTGTACTTTTATGAATAGAAGGCTCATACGAAACTAAAAAAAATGCTTCCGTTACATAGTCACTCGTTCTTCCATAGAAAGCTTACGGGGGAAAAAAAAGGAAAGGTGCGGTTAGTGGGTATGTCTATGCTATCCAGCAGGTTTTCTTCTTCCTCCTCCTCTTCTTCTTCTTCTTCTTCTTTATAGTAGTTTCTTTCTAGAAGTGCACTCTACTTCCGTTGGTCAGAACTAATGTATCCCATTTGGAAAATATCCAATTCTAATGGACAAAAATTGATCTGCCTGTACGTATATCTATTATAATAATCATACGGTAGATATTCATTGCTCAGACACCTAGAAAGACTATGGAACAAGATATTCATTTTCTTATACAAAGTGTGCTATAAAACCCGAGTCAAAAAGTACCTACATCTAGACACCTTCGATAACCATTGGACACTATATTAGTACTCAGTTTCCTCGCCATAATGCGGATCCATAAATCCAATACAAAAGATACGTCCTCGATCAAGAGAAGCCTTACCAGAGCACACTTGTATCAGCCAATATTCTGCGAGCATCTCAGCTTGGGCCATAATCTCATCCCTCGCTTCCGCCAGGTCATACGAGGCCGGAAGATCATCCAGCGGGAACGAAATACACTCATACCTAAACGCATGCTGTGCCACTCGATGAATGGCAGCGCGCCCATTCTGAATCTCAAGAATCACATACTCTAGGATCAATTGGTCAGTATGGGTGTGGTACAGGCTGGAGGGAAGTTCCACAGTCACCCAAGAAATGTTGTCGCCTATAGGGTCCTGTTCGAAATCGGATCCTGCATTATGCATCCTAAAGATGGATTGTCGGTTGGGGATATTGGTTCCTGGGAAACTCATTTTGTCGGTGTGTGGGTGCTTTGCGGGTTGTCTGTATATGATTGAAAGAGGATGCTTAGATTGAAGGACGTGAGATCGAGGCCGTTTTATATGGAGAAAACCGAGATTCAAAAGGATGAATTGACAAAGGCATTGATTACTATAATGTCCTTTGCTTGATGCCAAAGACTTAACGATCATTCATTCACTAAGAATAAACAAAGACCTTGTTCGAAAATAAATGTCGAAGCTGCTAGCGACAGCTTCTTCCAACCACAGCGAAGAACGTACCGTATTGATACGAAAAGACAGGAATCATGAAAGGAACCTTGAGGTGCGCCCAGAGTACTCTTCCTAGGGAAACAGAGGGTTAACTCTATAGATAGCTTCCAAAAATGGACCCAAAGAGCAAGTCAGGGGAAGCTCCGAGATGTGCGATGGAAGATGGTGGGAAGCGACTGAATGTATCCGCAGAGGGCGTAGGAGAGGAAAATTAAGGAAAGTATATAAAAGGCTGGGTATTTAGAACTTGTACATATGAATTGTGTATAGGTTAGACTAGTTAATTACTTGAACATATCTACGGGTATGTACTCAGTACTTGGTTATCAGCTACATTCCTATTTAGGTACTGGATACTTGAAATTCTTAAAATCGCTTCGACACCTGAAAACATTTTTTATTCCTCCACGTACCTTGACAGAACTCTCACATTCACATCTTGACTATCCCCCTCTCTCTAGGGTGCTACGGCACAGTAGCCCCCGGGACGCTTGAAAAATCACATCCCGGTTAAGAATAACCATCCCAGTACGAATCATTTCGAGCCACTTTCTCACATCGACCTCGGCGCGAGACCACATTGCCTCTGTTTTAGCATCAACCGGGACCGGGATCGAGATGCAACTTACCCCCAGGTTATGCTGTGCCACATCACTTACGATGGCTTGTCGGTCTCGGATGATCTGATGCGCATGAGTCATGATAGCTTCATCGGTATAGGTGTCGTTCATTTCTGCAGAAAGGATCACGGTGATCCAGTGAGCTTCATCGTTGTCCGGATCCTCCAAGAACTCAGGCGGGCCTACATTGAGCCAGGTGTCATTGTCAACCCCCCTCATACCTTCAGAGGGTACGATGAATACACTGTTCTGTCCCATGTTTGTTGAGATGAGTTAGTCGATTGAAAGGGGTTTTGAGGGATTTCGAGAGAAATTACTGGGTCTTGACCTTTGTTTATGAAGCTGCCTTGAGAGACTCGGTTATTTTTTGCTGTGGAGGAATGTTTTTCTAGCTGATGATTTGTTAGTTGGCGAGACTGAGACAGGTCTCTTGTACTCTGCGCCTCCAGATACAATTGGATGGAAACAAAGACTCTTTATTGCCAAAAAGGTCTTGTCCTGTCTTTGATCGAGTCTACACGACCCCGAGCCGAGTCTATGTCTACATGAAACCCTTGATTTCTCGACGAAAGTACCAAACCGTCGCGGGTGCTTTGTTCTGATACAATCGATAAAACATCGATTTGGCTGATATGGGAGACTCTTTGTTAGTCTCTATCCTATATCGAATCGAGCCTTTGTTCGCTTGATTCCCGTGTTTCATCATCGGTTATTTCTCTTTGATACTCGGCCATAAAGAATCAACAAGGGCATTATGGGTTGAATGCAGAGTCCAATAATATAAAATGACAAAAAGAACCCTTCCCACAAGAACTTTGTCGGCCACTGCCCTTTGTGCTCTTTGTATCTTTTACGGTCAAATCTCGAAGGGGATTCCCTTCGAGGAAAGACAAACATATTTAGAAGGCCTTTATTTTATTTCTCTCTTGCCATCGAGAGACCATAGTTATTCACGCAGAGCCTTCATCCAAAGTACAAAAAGGGAGCCTTCTCTCTATCACTTAGGATCAAGTTCATACAGTCATCTCAACAAAGCAAATACACAGACACATTTCAATTGACCATCTAGCCACGCGCGCAGCTTCATTCTGCGACACGCCATAGGCATCACCCTACATTGTAAGCCGTCCCGTCTATTGCAACCTCTCCTTATGGCTTATACTAACTTCATCCAGGACGTGTCTGCATATCTCGATTGGATCTTATTTCTCGCGTGCTTTGGGCTTGTCCTCTGCTTTGGATCCGTAACTTTTGTGGTCGTGCATTGCATCGTGCAGATCCTTCAAGCAGCTATCGCTTTTTACCTATTCGACATTCTCTATTACTTCATCTACGAGGAGGAAATCACAGAGTTCTTCGTCGAGCTCATCTCCGAGATCCTTTCCTCACGCCTCGAACTCAAGAGCTTCATCCTGCTCCTGTGCATACTTTTCAGCATCCATTATTCTATCAAAGAGATCGCCTCTATCTTCTGTGAAAAGCTTCTCGGGCCAAAAACAACCATCATTGTAGATTGTCCTAGGCATCGTGAGTCTCGAATCAACTCCTTCATCAACCTCTACGGCCGAAGAAACACTACTCTCGTAACCAAAAACAATCAAGACTTGACTTTCTAATAGCCATGCAGAGCCCCCAGTTATCCCAGCTCGCCGACGAGATGGCCCGGATTCATCCCACAAACTGGGTAAAGTCTTTTATGTCTATTACCATTAACTCTCCCAAGGATCCCCGGCCCACGAATATCAAGCCCAAGGAGACAATGCCCAAGGATCCAGAGCCCACGATTCCTGAGCTCTCAATCTCCAAACCTACAGCCCCCAGTGATCTATCTTTTGCGTCTCACAGAAACCGCTACATGCGCCATCCCTGGGGCGTAATCGACTACCACATCTATCTCACACACATCGAAAATCGCCGCGACAATCTCCGCCGCGAGATAGAGTGCTACATATTGGAAAACACCGGCTTCAAACAGAGAACCCTACACGACGAGCCGCTTTTCGACAACGCCTTGGCCCACACAAACCCCACAGTAGTCTTTGTCAGCCTCCCCGTCCCCGACGTACAGAACGAATCCAGCATCGCCAGCTTAGTCCTCGGCTTCGATCCAAAGTTTCGCCGCTTGCAGGGTTGGCTCTTCGAGCCCGAGTCCCCGATTGAGAACTATGCGGACCTCTGGAAGGTCTGGTCCCGGGGTGAGGGCCAGCTCGTTATTGATATTCCCATCGACCATTTCCTGGCAATCGTTCGTCATACCATGCAGCATCAAATTCAGATCCTAGAGCTCGGCCTCCTGCACCATTACGCTCTGACTACGCACGCGTTCCAAGCTGGCTTGGATATGGTTATTCTTGTGCAATTCTTGCAGTTTATAGATGACTTCGCTGAGCTCGTGTCTGAGAAGCCCGAGGAGATTCGGGAGGTTTTTATGCCTTTCCAGGAAGAACTACGGGAAATACTTGCGGCTGGCTCGCGAGACTCTTGGTTTGCTGTTCGTGATGGATACAGTATCGACCAGTATCGCCAGAAGCAGTTAAGGAAGGTTGTTGCTTCAGGTTTGTTCCATGGGCAGAAGATGCTTGCGCCCCGAGGTGAAGTTGAGGCCACGGAAAAGCACAAGATGTCTCGTCAAGTTAAGATTATTCCAGGCCACTCAAGTCGGTGGTGGTCGAAGCTGCGGGTCCACCTCTTGGTGAGTACCATGCTCGTTCTTTGCTGCTGTTCTGTTCTCGATCGCGAGAGGGTTCTCTGTGTGGGGATGTTTTGATCAGGGATTTCATGTCTCAAAATTTCTAAATGAACAAATTTTTTCAAGATGGTTGTTCCGTAGTCTATGTAGTAAGTATTTGATGTGGATCAGTAAATAACAAGGTTGGATAGGTGGGCCGTTAAGTGGAGTTATAGCAAGGAATCTGAGATACATCAAGATCTATACGGTAAGTACGGAGTGCCTATATACTCCCTTGTACATGTATAAGTGTCCAGGAAATCTTGCAAATCTTTAAAATCAAAAGAAAAACCCACTGCCTCAACCGGCTCAACCCGAAGCTAAAAATGCACCGCCACACTTTGTGATCCAAATCGGGAATAATCACACCGACTTATGTGGCGCTACGTGGCTAAAGCGGATCATGGCTTTTATTATGTCATCAATCATTGGTCAACCATCCCCCGGTTGTTCTTGGCGGGTCTTGGCAGCGTCAGAGATGTTCGTCTGAGCTGAGCTCGACCTCCTTAATTGCCAAGGCAGCGGGCCCCCAAGGTACAGATCTGCACCCAATCTCGCTTCATTTCTTGTTTTGTTATTTTTTTTCTTTTCAGCCCTGTAGCCCTATCGCATTCAAGGCTGCCTAATTCTTTCTTATCCCTACCACCGGTCAATTGTGTTTTAATAACCCCATGCGACTCGAGTCCACGGCTCTTATTTTTCTTCCCCCCGTGATATCCCTGAACCACATCAATTGTCCTTAATATGGCCGAGTACAGTGCGCAGCCCGCCAACGGTATGTCGAGGCAATCCAACCCTGGGTCTGAGAATTGCGCAAATTGAACTAAACAAACTTGTTTTCAACCGCAGGGTTGCCTCGAAATGGAGAGAGACAGCGCAGCTCGAATGATCGCTTTGAACTCATTTCCGGTCCTCTGCTCAACCTTAAGAATATGCACTACCAAGCTGCGACCACCTGGCACGGCAGTGTCATGATTGTCACAAAGCCAACCCAGGAACAGCCCCAGCTGCGCCTGCGCCAGGTAGGTGCCGTAGATAGCGGGTCGAACGACGACGGCAACCCCCAAACAAGCCAAACAGTCGAAGGCCTCAAGCTCTACGAAGATCCCCTGAAGGCGTTCTGGCGATTCTCTCTCACCGTGCCAGTGGCGGCCTTCGAGGCGCGCTGGGCGTACGACATCCCCGGTCTGTACAACGAATCTGAGGCCCAGGTCCAGGCACCGTGGGAATTTGTAGTTCCTGCAGCAGAGCAGTCCATGCGCATCATGTTCCACTCATGCAATGGATTCTCCGTCGGCACGGACATGAACGCCTGGGTGGGGCCAAACCTGTGGAACGATGTGATGCGCGTGCATGACAAGAAGCCATTCCACGTTATGGTTGGCGGCGGTGACCAGATCTATAACGACGGTATTCGTGTGGATGGCCCGCTCAAGCCTTGGACTACCATTGCGAACCCGCACAAGAGACGCAACCATGACTTTGATAATCAGATGCGCGCTGATTGTGATGATTACTACTATGCCAACTATGTCCGCTGGTACAACACCGAGCCATTCCGCACTGCCAATGGCCGCATTCCCCAGGTCAATATCTGGGATGATCATGATATCATCGATGGGTTCGGCTCGTATACGGATCACTTCATGAAGTGTGCTGTCTTCCGTGGTATCGGCGGTGTGGCTTTCAAGTATTACTGTCTCTTCCAGCACCACATAGCTCCTCCCAAGTCAACTTACACTACCGATTCCCCGCCGACTATGCACGCCGTCAATGGAACCTCCGGCGTTGACCCGCGTCAAGTAGAAAACACCTACGTTCTGGAGAACCAGGTCGAAGACGACAGCTGGATCATCGGCAAACGGCCCGGTCCGTACGTGGAAGAGCGCAGCCGAAATCTCTACATGCGCTTCGGCAAGCGCATTGCCTTTATGGGTCTGGATGCGCGCACAGAACGCACCCGCCACCAAATCAACTACGAGGAAACCTACGATATGATCTTCGAGCGGCTGCAGAACGAGATCGTCGCCGCCAACGGCGACATCAAGCACCTGGTGGTCTTGCTAGGAGTGCCTATCGCATACCCCCGTCTAGCATGGCTCGAAAACATCCTCACATCCCCCTTGATCGCGCCAATCCGACTGCTGAACAAGCGCTTCGGCGTGGCAGGCGGCCTCTTCAACGAATTCGACGGCCAAGTCGATCTCCTCGACGACCTGGACGATCACTACACCGCACGCCAACACAAGCGCGAGCGCAAGATGCTGACCCACCGCCTGCAAGAGTTTGCCCGCAGCCACAGCGTACGCATCACCATCCTCAGCGGCGACGTCCACCTTGCCGCCATCGGTCGCTTCTACTCCAACCCGAAACTCAACCTCGCCGGCGAAAATGATCACCGCTTCATCGTCAACATCGTCAGCAGTGCTATCACCAATAAGCCCCCACCCAAGGCCGTCGCCGACCTCCTCGCCCGCCGAAACAAAATTCACCACCTCGACCGCGACTGCGACGAGACCCTGATGCCTTTCTTCAACACGCAGCCCGGCGGCAAGGAGAAGGGCGGCGCGTTCAATAAGGTCACCATGCCCTCCCGTAACTACGCCATTATCACCGAGGTCGTCGCCCCCGGACCTGGTAACACTGGTGTCCTCGAAGCCAATTCCGCGAAACTAGAACATCTTCCCAAGGACGGCCACGCACCACTCCACAAGGGCGAAGTCGATGCTGGAACGACGCACAGCGCCGCTGATGGGCTCACTTGTGCGAGTGGCATGTATGGCGGTCTAGATGTTGCCGTCCGTGTGGAGATCGACCCCCACGATCGTAATGCCACTACCGAGGGATACGGATTTAGTATCCCGCCCTTGGTGGCTACCGAGGGTCCCCCTTCCACCGGCCACCGACTTAGTCTGCACTCGCGCAGGTCGCACCAGGGCCGGCCATCTACGGCGCAATGAATTCGCTTTTTCTCGGGGTTTCCCCGTATAACCATATGTTACGGTTTATAATGTTTGAGATTTCAGGGGGTTTCTCTCTTTTGTTTTTTTCGATACCTTTGATTTATTTAAAATCAACTATTTCCTACGTCCTATACGAGTCCTCAAATGCGGGCTTCCCCTCGCATGGATAATGTTACTTTTTAGGGTTAGACTTGGCGTCAAGCTTTCTCTTATCTTGTCTTCTATTCAACTTTTTCTGTAGATCTCTATCTTTTGTATACGAAGATATCTAATCGGTAGATAATATTCCTTCAGACTTCCTGACCTATCGGCTATTGTAGAATGCAAACACCCCCTTTCGGACTGCATATCTACTTTGGCGCATGATGGGTTACACCTTGACTTATAACCCGTATTCCTCCTATCCCCAGGCCTAGTCATTTATCTAGAATAGATATCCTTTATGACGGTAGATTATTCTCGTCCACCTGCTGTCACCATGGCGCTCAAAAAGGAACTCACAATCACTCCCTCACCTCCCCAAGACCATGAAAAAGGCACAGTCGAGAACCTCGAACTAGATCGTCTAGGTTACAAACAAGAACTACGCCGCAACCGTTCAGTCCTAACCCTCCTCTTCCAAACCCTCGCCATAGCAGCAATCCCCTACGGCGAAGGCTCACCCCTTCTCTCCGCCATCTACGGCGGCGGTCCCCTCTCAATCTTCGTAGGCTGGATAGTCGTCTGTCTCCTCGACCAATGCATCGCCTTCTCCCTCGCCGAACTCGCCTCCCGCTACCCAACCTCCGCAGGTCCCTACTACTGGACTTTCCAAATCTCCCGCGGAAACAAAACAACCATCTCCTTCATCAGCGCCTGGATCTGGCTCATCGGAAACTGGACCATAACCCTCTCCGTAAACTTCGGCTTCGCCTCCCTGCTCTCGGCAACCATCTCAATCTACCACCCAACCTGGTCCGCGTCAAGCTGGCAACTCCTCCTAATCTTCTACGCAGTCTGCCTCACCTCCCTAGCAATCTGCATCTTCGCAAACAATCATCTCCCCTTAGTCGACACCCTCTGCGCAACATGGACTCTCCTCACAATCATAATCATCCTAATCGCCATCTCCATCAAAGCAGACACCGGCCGTCACTCGCCGTCTTACACCTTATCCCACTACGACAAATCCTTCGCCGGTTGGGGTGACTTCACTTTCTTCATCGGTCTTCTCCCACCAGCATACACCTTCTCCGCAATAGGAATGATCTCCTCAATGGCGGAAGAATGCACAAATCCAGCTATCAAAGTGCCCCGCGCAATAGCCCTCTCCGTCCCCGTTGGTGGAATCGCTGGTCTCTTCTTCATCATCCCTATCTGCGCAACCCTGCCACCCCTACAAGACATCATAAACGCACCAGCAGGACAGGCCCTCCCTTACATCCTGGCTCGGGTAATGGGTTCCCCCGCCGGCGGTCTAGGTCTCATTTCTCTTGTCCTAGTGATCACAGTCTTTTGCTCGATCAGTATAACAGTCGCCGCCTCGCGCGCGACCTGGGCCGTGGCCCGTGACGACGCTATACCGCTGGCGAGGCTGTGGGCGCGCGTCGACGAGCGCTGGGGTGTGCCCGTTTGGGCGTTGGTTTTGTTGACAGGGATTCAGATGTCTCTTGGATTGATTAATCTTGGGAGTACGAGTGCGTTTACCGCGTTTGTTTCTGTCGGGGTTATTGCGCTCGCGGCGGCTTATGCGATTCCTATCTTTTTGAGTCTGTGGCATGGCCGTGAAGAGGTTGCGAAGGCGCCGTGGAATTGTGGAGGTGTCGTTGGGAGGTTTGTGAACGTTGTTGCGTTGGCTTGGATTGCGTTTGAGTTGGTGCTGTTTAGTATGCCCACTGCTTTGCCCGTTACGGCTGTGTCGATGAATTATGCTTCGGTGGTGTTTGTCGGGTTTATGACTATTTCGGCGGTTTGGTTTTTGGTTTATGCGAGAAAATGTAAGTTTTTCCACTGTCTTGGGGTGGGATTGTTACGCTGACAATTTATAGCTTACAAGGGTCCTCCTGAGTCGGATGCTCTTAATTGAATCCCTGTGGTTTATATAACTGGGCGATGGAAGACATTGCTGTATACTGAATAGGAGATAGTCCGCATTTTCTCGTTGATATTCCTATGCAAATGATGCAGTATGCGTTATATTAACATATCTAAACTTCCAAAGCCTTTCTCGAGGGTCATGTATGAACTAAATCAAATGGGTATCTATGCAAAAAAAAAAAAAAAAATCGGTCTTTTCAGCGCAAACGTTTTATACCTCCCGACTCTGGTCTGGACAACTTCCTCTTCTCCCGTTTTAAGTGACCGATGATTCAGAGTATCGCGGTGAAAGTCGATAATCAACGCTCGTCCAAGTTCCTTATTCCAAAGGACATTGTCATATCGAAGATCATGAACGCCCAACGCCTTGATTTCCTTCGTCGACGGATTTCTCAGCCATGGCTTCATCTCTGTATTCTCTCCTCCCCAATGACTAGCATGTGACGAATCTCTCCCGCCACAGAAAATAGATTTTGGCCAAATCGATTGTAAGGAAGACAGGTACCGTTGAGCCTTGGGCCTTCCGTAGGATTCGATGCACCTGCGCTTCACTAGAGACTTGTTTCCACAGGACGTGGTTCCTTTCCCGATTACGATGTAGCCATGTACAATGCAGGTCAATTTGAACGGTGCGCCATATGACCCGAAACGTCCGAATGGTATACGTCGGTCAATATTGTCGTCAAGCTGCTCGTTTAGTAAACGTACTAAATCATCAGAGGTGGTAGGACGTTTGAGGTCATCTTGGTCCCGATGTGAAGCTTTACGTTCGGACAGCCGTCATCTAGATTACCCCTGGTCTGCAGCCCGAGACACCGCTGGGTGCAGAATTGTGCATCTCTTTCATCAAGATATGCGAATACTTCATAAAGCAAAGTCCAGTAGTTCTGTCGCCGGATGCCTGGCAACCATGTATCCTAGTACAAGATACATCGTCCATTTATATGCAGACTATTACTGATGGTAACTACATAGCCCAGCATCATTCTCGGTCAGCCAAAATCCCCTCTTCGTTCTCACTTCCACCCCTCCTACGCCTGGGAATTCCCTCATTCATAGCATTAGCCTGCTTCGGCACAGAGACCGAAAGCGAAGCATCACTCGGTCGACGCCGTCGGACAAGTTGATAGCCCCTATCAAGCTCAATCTCAACCGCCTCTCGAACCTTCAGCGCACTAATCGCCGGCCAAACTCCCCTCTCGCCCTTAAGCGCCCACTCAGAGACGCGGGCTTTCGTCGGACTCTGGAACAGTTTGCTCAGATCCCAGATACATAAGTCTGGGACCAAAGTTAAGTTTGGCCCCGGGATTGTCTCATCGATGAGGAGTCTGCTCAGTGGAGCGGGTAGCACGCCTAGGTAGTCGAGTTGGCGGAGTCGGTGGCGCAGTTCGACGATGATTAGTCGCATTGCCGAGCGGGAGAGGTTGTTCCAGCCTGTTTGGCGTCGGTCTAGGAGGTTCAGTTCTGACCGAAGGAATGGGACTAGGTATGGTCGGGCTTGGGAGACGATGAAGTGATTTACGTTGAAGAGTTCCGAGATTCGTGAGAGGGGGGATTCGCCTTCGTTGTAGTGGACGTGTCGCCAGGGTCGGAAGACTGCGTCTTGTGTGTGTGGCCATGGGATTATTGCGCCTGTTTCGTCTTTGCAGTAGATTGTCACAGGTGAGTAGAGGCCAGAGGAAGAAGAGGCGTTGGATGCTACAGCAGCGGACCAGATGAGCTAAAAACGGTGTTAGATATCACTAGCACGGGCAAGGAGAAGGGGAGAAATACATACCACGTTCGGCGCAGTCAAGTAATTCAACAGATTCGGTGTCCCATTTTTCCCTGTCGTGGCAACAGTGATATTCAAAATGCGCTTCGACCTCGCATACGCCTCTTCAAACGTAAGATCCCCAACATTCGCCCGAACACATTCCTCCAAAACACCCACATCAAACAAATACCCCTTCTTCAGCACCCTCCTCATCCTTCGATAAAACGTCACAACCCAACTCGAATCAGAGTTCCTCCCACTCCCCCCATTGACCATCTTCCGCCTCTCAAAAGCAGAAAGATCAATGCCCTCCCCATCAAGCAATGGCAGCAACTCATCCTCGGAATGAATCCCCACAAGCGCGGCAATCATCGCTCCAGTCGCCGTGCCTGTAATAATCCGCGGCAATAGACCCTGCAAATGCAGCGCCTTCACAACACCAAGATGACACAGCCCGAATGCAGACCCGCCCTGCAGCAGCAGTGTCGTCCGCCCAAACGCCTGCCGCGTATCGTGCAGTAGCTCTAGCTTCGCTTGCGAGCTGAACCCGCTCGGGTGCATCGGTGCTCCTGGCACGGATGTGACATACTGGATTGATAGCGCTACTTGCGTGATGTAGTCGTCAATTAGAAGCTTGGTTCCTGCGTACGCGTGCGTGAATAGCTTCGTGCTGGTTATGTTGCCCAGATTTCGCACTAGCCCGGACCGGAGCAGGTTCACTAGTGTGAGGACATCTTCTGACTCGCGCGCGCTCATCAGTGCTTCGAGTCGACCGAGAATTAGTCGGTAGTCGTAGTGTCGACTGACGGGGTTTTGGCGCCTGCTTAAGTGGTTAGATGGTGTGTTCGGTATATTGGATTTTGAGCTGGGTTCGATTTATTTGGTTTGATTTCATACCATAGATCTTTACTTTGTAGCTCGTCAAGCTCAAATGCCGCCTCTTCCCACTCTTCATAGCTCTGCGCATTGGCTAGCTTATGAAAGAGTCGATCTCGAGGGGATTTGGAGTGCCACCATGATAATAGTTTCTAATTGACAATTATTAGCTCAAGATCAGACAGAAAACTACATCCGATATTATGTCTTGTGCGTCATTCGTCTTTGCCATGTCAAGCTCAGACCTCTCCCCACATACAAGACAACTCGGCTTAGGATTGGAGAACACTCACCTCTCTCCAGAACTGAGTAACATCAAGGACCATATTCCAGATCGCACCAGCGATCTTCCACAATCCGAACCACCAGGATCCCATTTTTCCATTCGAGGGATATGTTGTTGTGGAGGGAGAGATGCACATGCGGGCCCGGGCCTCGCTTTCACATGCTACAACGTCACGCGCGTTGCACTAGGAGATTAGATATTGGGATAAGGTAGTGGATTGACAGTAGATTAAGTGTGATATGTATTCGAGGATAACTGGATTATGGAGAGGGATTGATCTGGATCTGAAGGATTTGTGTTGTGAAGGTTGAAGAGTTGGAACTACCAGATCGATCCGGATTCCCTTGGATCGTCCAACTACACCCCCTGCGAGATATACATCTCTACACTCAAGACTTTGAAGTAATGGAATTGCCTCGGGCGCACATTGCTACATGTCACATACAAAGACGTTTTCGCGTGAGGGAATCAGTGAATTTCAAAAGGGTCGTTTTGTTTTTGACATTTCGCTTTGCTTCCCTATATGCAAGTAGGCGAAATTAAAGAAACCTCTCCCGGACACCCCATACATTCCCAAGCGGCACATTTACTCTTCAATGATGTTGCCCTTCTCCGACACGTAAAGACCATCCAAGAACTGGGAATGGTTAGTATAGATTCAACAGGCTCCGATCCTCCCGGTAGAACTTGTGGTTGTATAACTCACCTTACGGATATCCTTGTTGCGGACACGGCAGATCTGCTGGATGTCGGCAGCGGACTGGGACACACCCTCGAGGGAGTTACCGGTGAGGATAAGCTCATCCTTCACGTTGGCGGAGGGAGCAATATCGACATCGGGCTGGGCAGTGATGCGGCGGACGTACTTCTCACCGAGGAAGTTGCTGAGAACAAAAAAGTTAGCTCTAGTTCCATCACAATTCACTTCCACGATATGATTTCGAAAATCATATCGAAAGACACCGTAGATTCCAGGGTTCCATACCGGATCTCCACAATAGAGCGGCCAGTCTCGGGGTTGGGCTCGATGTTGACGTTGATGGGGAAATGGGCGTAGACGTAACGCATCTTGTACTTGAAGCCACGGGTAACGCCGATCATCAGGTTGTTAATGATGGTACGGACGGTACGGAGGGTAGCAACACCCTTGCGGGCACCGTGGTGCAGCTCGATGGAGATAACGTTCTGCTCGGGACGGCCGAAGGTGACGGCAATGTGGGAGAGATCCTTGACGAGCTTGCCGCGGGGACCCTCGACAGTCACGACGCGGGACTTAATCTGGACCTTCACTATAGAGCAAAAAAAGATTTCAGGTTAGTTGGCATTTCTTGTAGTAATTCGATATTTTGATTTCAAAATCAAGAATTGTCTGGTGTGCGAGTCGCCGATCCCACACAATATTTCCTCCTGATTCTGCTGTTTTGCTGGATGTTGATCGTGTGTCGTACTAGGCTGTTGAATTTCGTGCCTCAAAAAAAAGAAGTTGTATTGTGTGCGACCGGCTCCCTCGATCCTCCAATAAAAAAGAAATTCGCTCACCATTGTCCAGAATGGGCAGCCGTTCCTCGGAGTGAATGTACCGCATCTTGACGTGACTTTTGGTGGTTGCCGGGGGTGTAGTTTGTCGATGTCGGGGAGGTTCAAAATTCGAATGGACTTGGTGGTGGAGCGAAATTGGATGTCACGGGATTGTGCGTCGCTTAGGACCATTTTTGGTCTAGCGCAGTTAGGGTTCCTTATCAGCTTATCGTCTTATCGTAGCTTGTACCAGTACTTACTCTACCGGTGTTAATTGAGTGTTTAGTAAGTAGAGGTACATGTGGTATTAAAGCTGAAGCCTAGAGTTCCTCTGAGCAAGTTCGCTATGTACAAATGCAATGAACTGCAACCATGTGCCACCCAATTTTCTCCCAGGGCTTATGCGCTATGGCTATTAAATCTTGTTTTACAATACTAACCTCACAGTGATTTCTCAACCCGGTGCGACACATCCACGATCCATTTCCCGCCCATTTCTCGCAGCGTCGAAGCCAGCTCGTCGCTCTGATCCAATGCCACAATATCGTCTCCACCACCTATACTCTTCTCACTAACAAGCACATTGGGCACAGTACGGCGCCCTGTACGCTGGGCGAGTAGGGCCTGTAGATACCGCCCAAGCGGGTGCTGGTCCAATTCAACGACGAACGGTTTCGGTTCGATAGAGTAGTGCTCCAGCAAGATCAACTTGGCTTTCTTGCTGTAGGGGCAGTAGGATTTGGAGAACACGATGACTGGATATGCCAATTAGTCTTGGATACAGGCAAGAGATGGAAAATGTGTGGGGCAAGAAACATACCAGGAGCCCGCTTAAGAATCGCATTAAGCTCTGTCGTCGCCTCGGCCTCTTTTCTCTCTTTCTCCTCACGCTCTTGCTTCGCCTTTTCTTCGCGCTCCTTCTCCTCCTCGCTCTTAATCTCCGACTGAACTTCTGACGGCGTATCCTGATTCACCTTCTTTGGAACGGTCATCTTCGTCCGTCCCGCAATCGGGATCTCCTCCGTGTCTTCATTTCCTGTAGGAGGAGCAACAACTTTCTCGACCTCAGCGACGGGCACCTTGTCACCGGCACCAGCACTGGCAGCGCCGTTCTGTCCGGGCGCATGCACGGTATTCTGGGCCTTCTCTTGGGCCTTGGCCTGCTTGGCCAGCTCTTTCGCTTTCATTGCGTCGAGGGTCGAACGATAGAACTTTTGGTTTTGGATTTTGCTTGCATCGCCCTGTAGTTTGGATTGGATTGCATTAGATATCTGGAACCCCGGGGCGGAGATCTGGGGACGTACAGTGTAGTAAAAGACCATGAAAAGAATCGCGATGACCGCAACGACAATCAGTCGAAGCCGCCGTTGGGAAGAAGGCATGGGGAAATTGCGATTGTAGCCGTGTGACTTGTGACTTGTATTAAAAGGGTTGAATCAGGATGTTCCAGTTTCCCGAGGCGACTTCTAGACAACGTGACGTCGGTTGTTCCAGCCAAGAATTCCTCCGTTCTCGGCGCTAACAGTTTCGCGCGGGAACATTCAAACAATCTGTTCCTCCAAAACTATCACAATTAAAAAGCTCAAAAGAGGTCAGGAGAAGAGAAGTGGGGTCAAGATCTTGGAAGGGGCCAAGGGCATGTCATCCCTGATTTGCGGCCCCATCTGAGCGCTGATGCTTGGCGGAACTATGATGTACATATATGCTTGTTTATGTCTTACTTTTTTTTTACTGAATTATCAATATTGATTAGAATATGGCATGACTGGGTATTATGCTAAATCAGACGGGTTCTTTCAAATGCAAAACCCATGTCAACAGTAAATCATAGAGAGAACATGAACCTCACAGGTGTAGATGGGTAAGAAAAGGGTAAGGATAAAGGATAGGATATAGAAGTTCAAGGTGTAGATCAGAACAGTGGCAGGCCAGCTGCGGCCTGTTGAAATGAGGGCGTTGGTAATTAGGGGAATATGAACCACCAGGGCTGAAAGTGTAGTGTTATGTCAAAGACATCGGATAAAGGGGGAAAGATGGCAGACTAGGGAGATCAAGTATGAATCGAGAGTCCAGGCCGTGCAGCATGGCTGGCAGTGGCTCTGCGTTTGCCTTGGACAAGAATTGTCCAGTCTTCCCACTCCTTGGCAATCTCGGTCAAGACACTACCCATGACACCAGCAGATGCCATAAGTCCATGGCCTTCGCCTTCAAGGATCCGGACCTCGCAGCGGTGCATCGTCTTGCCAAGCCACTGGACATTCTCTACCGGAACGCGGGGGTCTTTGCTACCATGGTGCATCACCACTGATCGAGTGATGTCCACATAGCGAAATCCAATTGTTTGGCGACGCTCGAGGCAGATCAACAAATCAACCGCCGGGTTGGCGTTGGTAGTAGCCAACTCCCAGATCTTGTAGGTGAGGCGGGTATCATAATCACGCTGCCGTTCGACCTCGTCTTCTGGAGACTTTGTGAAAGACCCAAGAGTCGTGTCACTCTTTCTATACGACGCAGTGGTCGGCGCTGACGGTTTGATATTTGGTACAATGTCCACTCGCTGGGTCTGCGGGTTGTTTTCAACGGAAGGTATAGGTGGTACTGGAGGGACTGCATTCGCATTGGAAGCTTCTTTGGTAGGAGCCTTGCGCTTGGCCCGTCGCGGGGACTTGGGTAGACTGGTGGTGATGCTGGCGCTAGTGGCACTCATAAAGCTTGAATTAGCCACTTTGAGAAGAGATGTGGGAAGAGCACGAAGGATCTTTTGGGAGTAAGGGACCGCGTTAGTGGGCGCGGGATTCTTCTGGGAGCCGATGGTAGACAACTGAGATGGAGGAATCCATGGGGCTAAGAGATGAATACGGCCACGAATATGCTGCGGAATCCGGAGAGCCGTTGCAAGAGCGTAAATTGCGCCGGCAGAATGGGCAAGGATGGAAAATTTAGTCACTCGGAGGTGATTGCAAACGATTGCAACATCATCTATTGCTGATTAGCGCAGGATTAGAATATCTCGGCAGTCTTACTTACCGGGCCAGCTGAGAGGGGTGCTCGGCTCATCTCCCTGGTGTGGACCGCTTTCACCAACGCCAGGACGATCCAATGTGACCAGTCGTAGATTGAGCGTCCGAGCCAACTCGTCATAAAATGCCATCAGATACCGAGTAAGACCCATGCCGACACAACATAGCACGACATGACCCTTAGGGTCGCCAACTTCAGAGAAGGCGATAGAGCGGCCAGTGGCTGGGTGAATTACTCTCTGGGTCAGCTTCGGTGAAAAGATGTAGTCGTCAACAGCAAGGTCAATTGAATCCGCACTGGATGGTCGTTCGGTGCTGTACGAGGGACGCCCATTTGACAGATGGGACAGATGACCAGATGGGGTGCGGCGATGGGTGATTGGTGCGACTGGCTCAAGGGACTGTCTATATCTAGCTCTCTCGGAATCCGAGTGTTCCGCAGATGACTTAGGCAACTGTGGTGGTGGGTGAGTAGACTTCGATACGTGTGGTACTCCAGGGCGGCTCCCAGTGCGACTTTTCCCTGTCATCACGTTTGGCGAAGGAGCACTGT